AGAACAGAGAGAATATGACTGGAGAGAAAACATGAGAATCATTTCAGATTTTCATCTCATTCCTAAATACTTATTAAAAGTCACTTTTCTGACCTCTACATGTATTAATTCTATAACTCACCATACTAGTAGGTTGTATGACATTGGACAAGTCAACATCTCTGCCCTTGGTTGCCTCGTCTGCAATTAAAGGAGAGTAGGCCAACATTTTGAAAATATAAAAATGTCAAGATTTGAAATAGCTTAGAGATCATCTAGCTTATCCTTCTGAATGTATGAGGCTCTCTGAAACAGTCCACTGGTTTCTCTCTTGGCTTGAGAGAAAACAGGGCTCATGTACTCAGTGCCTTCTAGGAAACCATTTAAGTTTCGGGTTATTCTTAATCAGATGGTTTTTTCATAAACTGATCCAAGATCTCACCAGATAATTTCAAGCTAAATCTTTTTAAATTTTACATTTAAAATTGCTATGCAAAATCCTCTTCTCTACATAATACAAGGACAATAGTCCTACTGTCACTTTTATCAAAACATGAATTAGTTATAAGGTGTGATCATTAAAATTGGCCATTAGTTTTAATTTTGCTCCTGTCTATTGGACCTTGGCAAGATATTCATTATATCTGAATCTTAATTTCTTTGCTTATAAAATGAAGGGCTCAGAGTTTGTCAAATGTCTCTTCTAACATTTACGATGTCTTCCTGACTATATCTTTGTACTGAACTCAGTGGAACGTCACTTTGTTTTATTTTCAAGAATGGAGATTTTTAGATTTCTTTAATGAAGAATATACTTTTCTTCTTTGTGTGTGTGTGTCTCTTGGCTTTTCTAAATGTTCTGGATATAGTTATTTAAATAAGAGTGTATAACCTTAAATCTTATTCTTAGTGAGATGACAAGTAATTTTGATAAGTTGGAAATGATATTTCCTTTCCAATAAAAAGATGATAGAATACTGGGATCTTAAAGGTCAGAAGGGACCACACAAGGTATTCAGCCCCGTCTCCCCCTAAGGAAGAAGTCCATAATAGGACATCCCGAATGTTTTGCCTTCCAACTCCTGCTCAAGCTTTCCTAGTGAAAGGAGTGCAGAGCTTTGCGGCGTTAGCCGGTTTCAGAGAAGAAGGCATTCAAATGTCGTTCAGGAGCTTGCTTTCCTAGAACGACCCGTTGGTTCTTGTTCTGTTCTCTCAGCGTGCCAACATAGATATATATATGCCCCTTCATACTTGAGCCTGCAACCATTGGAATACAACTAACTACCACAGCTACTCCCCACCACCACCCACCCATCCTCTCCAAGGCTTTGCTTCTCCAAGCTAAAAGCTCATGCTCCTTCATTTGGTTTTTTCCACGCCTTTTACTATCCAGCTTCCTGAACCTTGGATGAATTTTAACTTGTCAGCATTCTCTTTAAAAATGTGATTCCAAGAATATAACAAGCATAATATAAAGTATTTTAATTAACTTATTATTTTTGCGCATATATTGAGCCCACTTCAAGAAAACCAGGAGTCACTGCTTCAACTAAATATGTTTATTGCATGATTCTCTTAGCACCAGGAAGCATTCTGTTCGCTCTTTGTTTTCTTATCTCTTTATTTCTAGTTATCAAATACATCCACACAAGTGGTGTCATGGATTCCAATTAATATTTCTTAGTACCACTATCAGCTTAATACTGGGCTAAATGGTGTGTTGTTCATTTCTTATATTATTATGTCATGTGAGTAGAAATATTATCAAGAGCCCCTCTCTGAAATCTATGAAATGAAATCCATCACAAACAATATTAAGAACAAATATGAAAGAAATTATTTACTAAAATTAAGATTACATATAGAATGATTTTCCCTCCTTGGCTATTTTAAGGTATTTTGCTCCTTCAGAATCAGACTTAACTATGTATTTCTTTCTTTAGTGTATTGTAATGAACACGATTTTGTCAGATCTTCATCACCAAGTGAAACTGAGTTTAGGCAAAATACTGGATAATTCAGGCAAAACACCTTTTTCAGCCTATAGAGGCTTAATCAGTATTGAAGGCCAAAAATAAAAATGTGATCATGTTACATTAAATTGTGTCTAGCCCCTACTGTCACTAACCCCCTGTGTATAGGAAACAAAAAGGGAAGGAAGAAGGAAGGAAGGAAAGAAGGAAGGAAGGAAGGAAGGAAGGAAGGAAGGAAGGAAGGAAGGAAGGAAGGAAGGAAGGAAGGAAGGAAAGGAGAGAAGGAAGGAGGGAGGGAGAAAGGGAAGGAGGGAGGAAGGAAGGAAAAAGAAGAGAATAGGAAAGAGAAGAAAAGAAAAAAGAAGAACCATTAAGAGAACTTTGCAGCTGAACAGCTGGCCGACCATCTCAGGGAATCTGGCGAGAAAGTGGTGCTCCAGGTCACAGCTCTTCGCTTCCCACTGAATCTCACCAGGAACAGCAGCAAAGGGCGGACCGGGTGGAGGAGTGAGCATCTTTCTGGTCAGTGCTCCTGACAAGGACGGACAGCCACTTCCTGAGCTCCAGGGCTCCTGCCCGTCAGCAGAGCTGTGCCCGTGCTCACAAAGCTTCCTGGCCACCTGCCTGCTCCTTAGACCCAAAGCCAGTCCTGCCCTTCTTGTGAGGACAGAAGGAAACAAGGAATTTCTGATGCTTGGGGGGCGGGGGGGAGTGTTAACCATCTAATTTCATTTTGTAAAATTTCCCTCAAAACATAAAAATTATTTAATGTTCACTTTAAAAATTCTCCCCAAATCCCTTTTAGTAGCTGTTCTTCCTGGGATTGGAAGAATTTGAGGTCCCCCTGCTCCGGTGTAACAGTATTTATTTTCCTTCCAGGTTACCAGGAACATTCTTATTCACAAACCACCTTTTCCTCAGACCAAGTTGTTTGTGTTATTATAAAGCATTTGTCAAAACCCCTGCTTTAAGACAGTACTGTCATCCTCTGCACAGAAAAGAAAAGAGAAATCTGAGCCTACATTTATTTTAATAACGCATCTACCCAATCTAAATAAACGACAGAGGTGTTCCTATAAAGTGATAGAGGCAAAATGCCAATCAATGCGTCGTTACTAGGAAACAAATGGACTGGGCAGGGGGATGAACAGGAGTCAGAATATACAGCTGGTCCTGACTTCGTGGGCAAATCCGACCATCTTGCAGAGCCTCCATTCCCTCACGGAGGAAAGGGGGACATAACCTTGCTGCCTGTGACTCACAAGGTTGTTAACAGCTAGAAAGAACTTTGGGAAATAGAAGCAGCTATACGATGCTTATGTTTTTAAAGCAACAGTTTTACCTCCTAAGTGATGCAGAACGAATAAAGGTCTCACTCTGAGACTTATCTCTGCCTAAGATAATGATTCCCCCCCAACAAGCCTACAGAAAAAAAAAAAAAGAAAAAAAACTGCTCCTACACTCATGAGCTCACAGAACTTCTAGAAGGACCTTTAGGATTCACCGTTTTAGAGACATGAGAACCCAAAAGAGATTAAATGCAATGTAAACTCACACCGCTGTTGTCTACGGACAGGCACGCCCCATTTTATTGCGCTTCAGGGTCCTGGCGTTTTTTTTACAAACGGAAGCCAAGGCCTCGCAGCGGCCGGCGGGTCCCACGCGCTGCGCTCCGGTGACTCCCGAGGCCGGACCGCCGCCGCGTCTCAGGGCGTCCCCCGCGGAGCCCGGGGCCGGCGTTCCCCGCGGAGCCGCCCGCAGCGCCGCTCCGGCCTCGGCTCACTCCCCCGCACGCGCACCCCGGGGAGCGGGAGGCGGAGGCGGCTGCTCCGGGGCAGAGGAACCTGGTGGGGAATCCCCAGCTCAGCTCCAAACTCCGGAGACCGTCCTGTCTCTTCAGCCTTCCAGTCCAAAGGCTCCCTGGCCGCCCCGTCCGCGCGGGCGGAGCGGAGACAGTACCCGATGGAATGGGAACCGGGCGGGCGGGCTGCAGGGGGCTCGGGACGGCGCCTCCCCGGCGGCGGGGCGGCGGGAAGGAGCCCCCGGGGCGGCGGGGCGGCGGGGCGGAGCCCCTGGGGCGGCGGGAAGAAGCGGCACGGTTGGACGCCGTGGCGAGCGGCTCCCAGACCTCTCGGTCTCCCGCGAGCCCCAGAGCCCGGAGGAGCCGACGTCCGGGGCGGGAAGGGGGCGGCAGTAGACCCCACGGGCAGCCCCCGCGGCCTCGGCCTCCCTGAAGCTCCGCGTGCCCTCAGACGAAGAAGGAGCGGGCGTCCCCTGCACCGATGGGCACTCGCTAGGAGTGCGGGAGCCGGGGGCGCGGGAAGTGGCGGGACCGGCGCGTAGCAAAGTCGGGGAGCAAACCCGCTCGATGCGTTTTTCCTGCTCAAGGTCCTGCGGCTCCCCGTGGGGCCGCTCACCGCGGAGCCGCGGGCCCGGCGCAGCGCGTGGGGAGGACCGCGGGGCCCGGCGCAGCGCGCGGGGAGGACCAGGGGGTCGGGGCGCAGCGGGTGGGGAGGTCCAGGGGGTCGGGGCCCAGCGGGTGGGGAGAGCACGGGGAGCTCCGGCGCCCGACCCCGAGCCGGGAAGGCCGGGCAGACCCACATGCACGAGGAGATGGCAGCGGGAAGGACGCGCCTCGCCGGAAGGAGGAGAGGCTTTGGGGTTTGGGTTGGAGACGGCGGGGCCCGGATGGGGGCCGGTGGCGAGCATCCTGCGTCCGCCCCGTCCGGACCGAGAAGGAGCCGGTCGCGGCTCCGCGGTTCCCGGTGGAGCGGAGGCCCGCCAGCCGGCCGTCGCTCTGCCCGCGGGGCCGGGAGAAGGCGGGCGCGGGGCTGGGGCGGGGACTGGCGGGGCCGGGGAGAGCCCGGCCGGCCGATGCGCACGCGGACGGCGCGGAGGAGCGGCCGGTGGACGCACCGCGGGGCAGAGCGGGAGGAGGTGGCGGTGGCGGGGCCACAGGAGCGAATATTTGCCTTCGGAGCCGCCGCCGGGCCGCCGAGCCTTCGGGCGGAGGGAGCGCGCCGGCCCGGCCGCCCCCGCCTCCGCCGCTCAGAGCGCCCGCGGCGCCGCGCTCTCCTCCCCGATGTCCAGCTCGTCCTCCGGCTCCGCGGGCACCAAGGGGCCGGCGGGCGCGGCGTCGGGGCCTCGGGGGCTGCCCGCGGGGCTCTCGGGCCCGCCCGGCGCTTTGGGCTCATCCTGGCTCTTCCTCAGCTGCTTTTTGTGCTTCATCCGCCGGTTCTGGAACCACGTCTTCACCTGGTTTCCGGGAGAACACAGAGCCGTCACTCCCGCCCGCGGCGGCCGGAGCTCTGGGCGTCAGGGGGCGGACCGGGGCGCTCTCCGCGGTCTCCCCGCTGCGCGGACGCGGCCCCGAAGATCTAACCTGGGCGCGGGGCGCGGGGGCGGCGTCGCCCGGTGGCTGCGAGTCGCCCAGCGCGGGGCCCTCTCTGCCCGCCCTGAGCGGGAGGCCGGCCCGGCCAGCGGCTCCCGGACGGCGGGAGGACCCAACGCGGTTCCCGCCGGAGGAAGCGCCGCGGACGGGCCAGCGGCGGCCCCGCACGTGGGTGCAGGTGCGGGGTGAGCGCGTGCGGAGAGTGCTGAGGAGGATGCGGAGGGGAGGGGGGAAGGGGAGGGGAGGGGGGAAGCGGGAGGGGAGCGGAGCGGAGGGGAGGGGAGGGGAGGGGAGGGGGAAGCCCCCCCCCCCGCCCACCTGCGTCTCGGACAGGCTGAGGGCCGTGGCCAGCTCCACCCGCTCGGGCGTGGACAGGTAGCGCTGGATCTCGAACCTCTTCTCCAGGCCGGACAGCTGCGAGTCGGAGAAGACCGTGCGGGCTTTGCGGCGGCGGCAGTGCTTCCCGGGCAGCTCGGCGGGCGGCGGGTGCGGGAACAGCGCGGGCACCGGCACCCCTGCGGGGAGAGGGGCGTCAGGGCGAGCACTTCCCCACACACACCCTCGGCCCGCGCCCCAGCCCCCTGCGGCCGCGGGGCAGGTGGGGGGGGTGTGCCCTCGGTGACGGTTAGCGGGGGTCCAGCTAGAAACCCCAACAGCGGCGGCGGGACGGAAACGGGCGTGTGGTCAGCCGAGGACTTGCTACTGAGCTCTCCTAACCCGCGCTCCAGTCCTCCGCCGCCGCACCCGAGTTTTCTGACAAACATCAAGTTTTCTGGCAAACATCAGGCGGCGCGGAGCCGTTTCCCTCCGCATCCCGGTCCCCCTGGCCTCCGCAGGGTTTCCAGGCCGGCGGGTCGCGGCCGCCGTGTCGCCCCAGACTCACCGCGCCGCCCCGAAGCCGCGGGCCTCCCGCTGCGGCCGAGGCCCCGGGCCGCGGAGACCAGCCCCGCCTCGCGCGTTCCCTGGTCAGACTCGGGGCGCCGGGGCCCCTCTTTCTAATGTGCTCACCGCTTTCTCACTCTTTCCCGGACCCCAGCGAAGGCTGGCACTTTCCCGGGCCCAGGCTCCCGGGCGGAGAGGCTCCCAGCGGAGAGGCTCGGGGACAAACGGAGGGGCAGCCGCCCAGCACTGGCCGCCTATGGGGGGACACTGGCCGCCTATGGGGGGACACTGCCGCCTATGGGGGGCACGGGTGCTGGCGGGGGTATGCCGGCTGCCTATGGGGGGGCACGGGCCGCCTATGGGGGGACACGGGCCGCCTGTATGGGGACACGGGTGCTGGCGGGGGGACACCGGCTGCCTATGGGGGTCACGAGCCGCCTATGGGGGGACACGGGTGCCTTCAGGGGGACACGGGCGCTAGCGGGGGGTCACCAGCTGCCTGGGGGGGGCACGGGCCGCCTGTAGGGGGACACAGGTGCTGGCGGGGGGCGCCGAAGCCGCTGGGGCTTGGTTGCGGGCTTTCCTCCTTCCGACCCGGGCCCTCGCCGGGTCCCGCTTCGCACACACGTTGAGCTGTGGTTGCGCTTCACAGCGGCCTGGTCTCCCCGGCCCCGGTCCCCGGGCGCAGGAAGGCCTGTCTGGGGCCCCGGGCTCAGGAAAGACTGTCTGCGGCAGCCGGTGCGGCCTTCCTCCCGGAGAGAGGCCGCACAGCGTGGGCACCCGCCCAGCACCTGCACCGGCCGGAGCGCTGGGCCTGCGGCTCCGGCCCAGGGTGCTTCGGAGCCGAGCTCCCCGGCAGCAGCGCGGAGGGAGCTGAGCTAAGACCCCGGAAAGGCAGCCGTGGGGAGTAAGAGAGTTAACGAGCAGCCAGATCAAGATGAACCCGACCCCGGCAGCCTCGCTCCCTCTTTTTTCCTTCCCTTTCTCCCTTATTCGGCGCCCAGACATCGGTCCTCAGAATCCCCCCTCCTTCCCTCCGCGGCGGCTGCATGGTGAGCGCCCAGCACCGAGGGGCCTTCGAGCGTCTGATGACAAAGTTGAGGTCTGTGCTAGGGTGACAGGCCTGGTCTCCCTCGGAACAGGCAGGCATGGGGCGGGACTGAGAGCTGGACCCGGTGGCCAGGAAGACCCTGGCACCGCCTGCCACCAAGAGCAGCACCCCTTCCCGCCCCCCTCGCCCGCTGTTCCCCCATCATCCTGAAGAGCACGGTGAGAGGAGTCACCGCGGTGGGCAGGCCTCCTGGAGCTCTGCTGGCCCCAGCCTCAGCCCTCGCTGCTGCCTCTCTCTCCAGGAGGGAGGCGAGGGCCAGGCTGCCTGCTGCGGCCTTCTCTGGGCTCCCGGCTTGGGGTCTGCGATAGGAGGCCCGCCCTCTTGCTCCCCACACTCGAGACCCCCTGTCACTTACCCGAAGTGGTGAGGAAGTAAGGGTGGTGGTGGTCTCCCTTGTGCAGAGGGTGATGCGGGTGAGGGGCCAGGAGGGTGGGGGTGGGCATGAGGGGGTAACCATAGTCTAGCAGAGGCACCCGGGAGGCCAGGGAGCTGGCAAAGGGGTCGGCGGGCACTTCTCTGAGCGGCTTGGGCTTGTGCAGCAGGATGTCCTCGATGAAGAAGGACGTGGGCCTCTGAGAGGATGCCGGGTGCAGCGGGGAGGTGAAGTTGAGGTTCATCTTGATCCGAGCCCCCCAACACAGAGAGAAGGCCCAGGAGGAGGTGCAGGGAGCAAGCAGCGGCTCAGCACGCCTGGCCGGAGCCGACAACCACCCCTCGAGGCTCGGATCTCCAGGCTCTCTCCGTCCCAGTCCCGGGCTACCCCTGCGCTGGAGGCGAGAGGACTAGCTCCTGGGTAGGTTGGGTCTGAGAGTAGGAGAATTGGCAGCTTGGAGAGGGAGCCAGGAGAGCCAATGGCGAGGCTGCCAGCAGCGGAGGGGCGGCGCTGACGCGGGGCGTGGCGGGGAGCTGTCCGCGGTGCTGAATCCGGCCTTCCGGACCGGGAGGGCCAAGGGGACCAGGTTCTTGCTCCTACTAAATTTCCCACCTTAATTTCTGGCCCTCCAACTGCAGGAGCTGTTTGCTCCCAGCTGTTTTTAAAGAAAGCTGAAAAGACAAAGTCTCTGTCCTCGGACAACTCCTCTTAAAAGCACTTAAAAGGCCCAAAGCAATAGGGATAAGGCACTTATTTTGGCATTCGGGTCTGAGTTGTAAAAATGTAGAAAAATGGCCCTGCAGGGTGTGACTAAGCAGATGAGCTCATGGTTTGATTCCTGCTCAGGGCACATGCCCAGGTTGTGATCCCTAGTAGGGGGCATGCAGGAGGCAGCCAATTCTCTCTCATCATTGATGTTTCTCTCTCTCCCTCTCCCTTCTTCTCTGAAATCAATAAAAATGTATTTTTAAAAAATTAATATTTAGAAAAATGAAAGCAAAGGATAAGTGAGAAGAGAGTCACTTCTGATAGACCCAACTTAAATTGATGGCTGAGGGATGACTAGATTATTGAGGTAGATAAATAAAATGATGATCATAATATTCTTTGCCTCAGTTAAAGAGAGTGGTGTGAGGTAAGTTATATCTGCATCAGTCAAGTAATATGGTCTGTGTAAATCTGTCCATGGCTACTCTTTTTATTTAATCTTTAAATTTTGATCAATGTGGAGAAGGGAGGGATTCTTTTTTTAATATATTTTATTGATTTTTTACAGAGAGAAAGAGAGAGAGATAGAGAGTTAGAAACATCAATGAGAGAGAATCATTGATCAGCTGCCTCTTGCACACCCACTCCTGGGGATGTGCCTGCAACCAAGGTGCATGCCCTTGACCGGAATCGAACCTGGGACCTTTCAGTCAGCTCTATCCACTGAGCCAAACCGGCCTTGGCTGTCCATGGCTACTCTTATCGCCAGTCTCCACCTCCTATCAAATTTTCATTATCTTCTCCTCCCTCCACTCGCAGGGCTTGCTATTTCTGCTAGACTTACCCTTTTCAACTTCCCCTCCCTCCCGCATACACACATCCTATATAATAAAGAGGTGATATGCAAATTGACCCTCACACTGTAATGCCATCACAAGATGGTGGCACGTACAGCGGAGGCCAGGTTCCTATAACACAAGATGGCTGCACCCACAGTGGAGGCAGGGTTCCTGTATCGAGTGATCTGCAGGGACCTGCGGCTGTGTGGTGCCAGGTCGGGCCAGAGAACCTCAGGCCATGCCCCGCCCGGCGTGGTTTGATGGGGGACCTCAAGGCGTGCCCCATCTCAGCCTGGGCTGGGGCACCTCGGGCCATGCCCCGACCCCAGCACCGGGCTGGGAGTGTTCAGGCCATGCCCCCCATGCAGCAGGGCTTGACGGGGGACCTCAAAGCACACCTCTTGCCTGGGTGCCAGGCCAGGGGATCTCAGGCAACAACTCTGCTTGGTGTGTGTCGGGGGACCTGAGGCTGCACCCCCTGCCTGGTGGGGCTTGAAGGGGTGGGGCCAGCTGGATCAGGGTCTGGGTATTGCTCGATTTCTAGGAGCATGTGGGTGAGCGGGAACATGACTCTGAGTCCCACAGAATGCCCCAGACTCTGACAGGAGAGAGATTTTCATATACATTTTACTAATTTTCTTTCATCTCTGACACTTCTATTATAGACAAAAGGCAAATAGCAATATTAAAATATTTCCTCTAATTAATTCCCTTTTAATGTGCATGAATTTTGTGCAGCAGGCCACTAGTACTAGTATAATTATGCTAGGGTTTTTTGTCTCCCATTCCCTTTCCAGCCTTTCTTTTCATTTCCCTCCCTCCCGATATTTGTTTTCCTGTTTGTCTTTTTCTAATCTGTCACATTTATTTCCCTTGAGTCAATTTGCTAAAATGAAGTTGATCATCTGCAGCACAGCCGGGCTAACTTTGGCTTCCATCTCCAAAAATTGCTCTAATTATTGGTGTTAAACTCAAGGAAATTAAAAGAAGCCACTTCTCTTCCATCTCCCCATTTTTAAGCTCTAATTTGTTGAAATCTAGTTGTCATCACAATTCCAATCACCACTGCTAATAGCAAAAGTGTCTTAATAGACACCGAGTCCTCACAACCCATGCTATTAGATAATTAGAGGAGGCGTTAGAGAGCCAAGTGCTAATCCTTGGGCGCCTGGGTAGAATTTTTGTCTGATCTAGCAGGTAAAACAAATTAATTACCGGAATCAATTAGGCCCCAAACTACAGTGCCGCAGGAAGTGGGAGCTCTGTGTTCCATATGGATGACCTGGTAAAAATGGTAAACAGAAGAGAAGAGCCAGAGGAAGGAGAAAGAAGTGGGAAATAACTTTAAAATGAGATCTTAGCAGGTAGGCAACTAAATAAAGTCAGAGTGCTTTGTCCTGAAGTCTGAAATGTGATTTTTGTTTTAAGTTCATCATGGTAAGAGCCGAAGATGGAGAGCAGGCCACTGAGAGGGAAAATGCAGGCTCCAGCAGTTGCGCTGTAGTCCTTAGCCATGGTCCCGTCCAGTCATCCCCCACAGCGCTAGAGAGAAGCTGAGGAGGCTCAGACTCCTGTCTCCTAAGACCCTAAAGGCTGAGGGGCTATTGAGGACATACCTGCTCACCCTCTTCTCTGTGCCAGCGCAGAGGAAGAGTGCGGCTTTGCATTCAGCCTTGGAGATGGGAACTGAGCCTCATTGGGGTGGGGATGAACTTCTGCTCGGATGGTGCAAAGGGAAGACTGTTAAGTGTCTGTTTGGGAGCAGGGCCAGTAAACACGTCTTTGGGAGACAGTTACCTTTGACCCAAGGCACTGCAGACGTTTTCTCAGAATTTAGCCTTAAGCAGTGGCTGGCAGACTCATTAGTCAACAGAGCCAAATATCATCAGTACAAGGACTGAAATTTCTTGAGAGCCAAATTTTTTAAACTTAAACTTCTTCTAATGTCACTGCTTCAAAATAGACTCGCCCAGGCCATGGTATTTTGTGGAAGAGCCACATTCAATGGACTAAAGAGCCACATGAGGCTCGTGAGCCGCAGTTTGCTGATCGGGGGACTAAAGCATTTCAGAGTGTTCACAGTATCGGAGGAGGGAAGAGAAGGGAGGGGAGGGGGTCCTCTGGGTCCTTTTCCTTCCCCTATTTCACCCACTGGGGACTCAGCTCCCCGGTCTCCCCCAAGCTGAGGCTATTTCCCGGCCCTGCGCTGCCCACTTGCAGGGGAGGAGGAGGCCGCTCCTCACTCTCTCTCTCTGGGTCCTGCTTTTTCTGGGACTGGATTCCGAAGCCCAGCACCGCCGGCTCAGCAGGAACCTGAGAAGTGAGAACTAGATAGCTATGGGAAGGGGCGGGACCTGAGGACTGCAGGGGAGTTCTATTATACTTCCCCTCCCCCTTTCCTGGCTGAGTGTGGGGACTGCCAGAGGGAGGAGATAGGGGAGAAGGGGGTCCTAATATATGACAGGAGATGTGACTTTGGGTGGTGGGCACACAGTGCAATACACAGATTTTGCAACAGAAACCCACCCCTGAAACCTCTACATTCATGTTGACCAATGTCACCCCAATAAATTTAATTTTTACAAAAGCTCCTAGGCTCACTGGTTGAACATGGACCTATGAACCAGGTCACAGTTTGATTCCTGGGCTGTGGGCTCAATCCCCAGTGTGGGGCCTGCAGGAGGCAGCCAATCAATGGTTCTCTCTCATCATTGATGTTTCTATTTCTCTTTCCCTCTCCCTTCCTCTCTGAAATCAATAAAAATATACTTAATAAATAAACAAATAAATTCTATATAATTAAAAAATATGCAAATCTACTGAACACTGGAATGAAGGATTGCTGTGATGCACACTGACTACCAGGGGACAGATGCTCAATGCAGGAGCTTCCCACAGCCCACTGGCCCCAGGCCAGCCAAGGCAGGTGTGTGGGGGGAAGGTTTGATCATCCCATTGGTCACCCCACAGATAGGCCCTGATTGCCAGCCAAGCCTAGGAACCCTACCCAGCACAGATTTTGTGCACCAGGCTCCTAGTGAATGAATGAATGAATCTCATGGCTGAGAAGGTAAACAGCCAGCAGCACCAAAGCAGGCCTCTGGGGGGGACCGAGGCGAGAATAGGGGATCCATGGGAAGTGGAGGCAGACAGGAATTCCTAAGTCTACACCCTACTGGATGAGGGAGACCCCCTCCGCCCAGATGCTTCGGTAACCACAGCCGGGCTTGCCATGGCCTGTGGACCGGAGCCCAGCACTCAGGTGGGCAGGTGTCCAGGCAAGTCCTGTTCCTGGAGAGGTTCCTTTGGGGTTGAGCCTCACATTCCCCTCAGAGCGCTCAGGGAAATCTTGAGGTCCGAGAAGGTGGGAAGTGTCCTTATGGTGCTGGGGCTCCTGAGCAGAAGCAGGGGAAGCTCCGGGATGCGCAGAGCCCAGCCTCGCCTTCTCAAGGGACTCATGCCGGCCTCCTACTTCTGCAGTGGGTGACAGAGGCAGCCAGGTAAAAGGTAAATGTCACATTTTTAGATAGCTTGTAACTGCTCAGTAGCCCCAACACCATAAGGACACTTCCTGGCTTTTTGGACCTCAATTTGCCCCTTAAATGCAGAAGTGTTTCATTGCCTGGGTTGTCTATAAAGTCTAGAGCAGCACCATTCAATAAAAATATGAGCCACATAGGTAATTTTACATTTTCTACTAGTCACATTTAAAAAGTAAGAAGAAATAGCCCTAGCCGGTTTGGCTCAGTGCCTAAAGCCTAGGCTGGGGACCTCAGGGTCTCAGGTTTGATTCTGGTCAAGAGCATGTGCCTTGTTTACAGCCTCGATCCCCTAGGGCTGCATTGGGGAGGCAACCCATTGGC